TCTGTCTGTCTCTCTGTCTGTGTGTCTGTCTGTCTGTCTGTCTGTCTGTCTGTCTGTCTGTCTGCCTGCCTGCCTGCCTGCCTGCCTGTCTGTCTGTCTGCCTGCCTGCCTGTCTGTCTGTCTGTCAGTCTGTCTGAATGTCTTCGTATTTTCTAGTGTTGGAAAATGCTACTGTTAGCTCCAACTTTGTTCCTTTCCCTCTGTTGTTTCTGTCTGTCTTACGTTTTGCCAGCACCAAGTGGTCGCTTTTAAGGACGAAGGGGCTATCCCGAAAAATACTGTTTTTAGAAAATCAAAGGTAAAGGTTTTGGACCCTTGCTCAGTTTCTTTAAAAAAACAAGGAGAGTTTTCTCTATAACCAAACAAATATATACACCAATGAAACCAAACTTCTCCTATAGATAGGGCAATGCCCACTTTTGGAAACCCCCGAAATCTTGGATATCCCGTTTGTCCTTTAAAGCGACCAATAGACCATTATTGTGGCAAGTAGTAATTAAAGTTTCCGTTCGTAGAATTATTAGGAAAGTTAAGAAGAGGAAAAAGACTGAAAACAGGAAAGAAACAAAACATTTAATATTTTACCTTGCATTTATCCATGTAATTGGCTACCTCTAGGGGTAAGACTTCTTCTCCCTCTTCGAAGGCGTGGCATTTTCTTCTTAAGTTCCAGCTCAATCACCTTTTTTTAAAAAGAGTTAGGCCTACATGCCAATTGTTGCTTCCTAAAAGAACCTAATCTGGATTCTAGATCTAGCCTAGATCTCGAAGGATTATAAAGACATAGGCCAAAAATTGAAGGAAGGAGCCTTGGCCCATAGATAGATCTAAGTTTAGAAATTCACATTTTTAAAAACCAACAGGCGTCACAGATGGCCTAGATTTCTAGATCTATTCACAGTAGGAAAAATCTACTTTCAAGAATACTTCCATGATTCTTGATCTCGATCTAGATTCAACTACAGCTTAGTTCTATACTGTAGATCTATTCACAGCACGTTCAATACTTTCATCATTCTTGATTTCGATCTAAGATTCACATAGATCTAGACTAGATCTAGATCAAAGAATCTATAATGCTCAGCAAGAAAAATCCACTTTCAATATTCAGTAGGTTATCGAAATATCACACATCTAGATTATACTTTCATTTCGTGATTCTTCTTGATCTCGATTTATCTCGATACATTAAGTAGGCCTACGGTAGGCTAGACTACTCTTTGCACTTTCGACGA